GTACTTGCTTGACGCATTTCCATTGGCAGTTTATTCCATATCTGTGCATACCTAATCAAGTAAAACTTTTGCCTGGTGGCTGTTTTACATTGTTCGATAGCTACTGTACCCTTAGTGTGTCTTAGTTTGTAGCCATTGTCATCTGAAAGTCGAGTGCCATTAGTAGAGGTAAAAACTAAGTGGTTTAGAAGCTTGTAGTAAAGTGTCAAGTTTAGTCTCAGGCGTCTTAGCCATAGTGTTTCTAGTCCTAGGGTATCACATCTAGTGGAGTAGTTCGTACCATTTCCGGTTCCGAGTAATTTTAACGTGAAGTACCTCTGCACTCCCTCGACTTTCAATTTGTCCTCTATGCGTATGCTACTATACATGAATGAACAGTAATCAAATAAAGGACGCACACAAACCTTGTACAACAGAATTCTAGACTCATTTCTGTAGAAGTTCCTGAGTAGAAAGCCGATAAGTCTGCGTGACTTTGACACTTGTTTGGAGATGTGTTCAGAAAATGATAAGTTATGTGAATATTTCAGCCCTAGGTCCAGTACAGATTCCAGTCGTTGAAGTGCATGGCCTTGAATTGTCAGGTCAAGTTCTAAATTGTTGCAACCTATGCAGAGCCAGCCACATTTTTCGACATTAAATTGGAGTTGCCAGGTGTCACACCATCTATCCATTTTTTCTAATTCTTGCTGTATGGCGTTTACTGTTATTCCAAGATCTGTGTTCTTGCATTTATACGTCACTTTTAAGTCATCTGCATATAGTATTGGTTTACCTACACTAAAGCATTCACAGATACTGTTTATATATATTATGAATAAGAGTGGGCCTAATACACTTCCCTGGATTACACCACTACTTACTGGTTTAGGCCTTGAGATTATCGAGCCAACTTTCGTTGTCTGACTTCGGCCACAGAGAAATGATTTTATCCAGCTCAGGAGAGGATCACATATCCCTAGTGAGCATAACCTGCTGACTAGCAGATTATGGGGAACTCTGTCGAAGGCTTTTGTTATATCGAAATAAAGCACAATTACTAGTTCTCTGTTGTCCCTACTTCGTGTAACTTCGTTGAAAAAGTCTATGTGACAGGTCACGCATGATCTCTTTTTGAGAAATCCGTGTTGTGATGGATTGATAAGTCCATGTTCTAGTAAGTTGTCTGACACTTGGTCTTTAACCACTTTCTCCATTATTCGGGATATTACCGGTGTTATATTGATAGGTCTATAGTTGCATACACTGGTTTTGGCCCCTGCTTTGTGCTTAGGTAATATGTATGTGGTTTTCCACACTTCAGGATAAGTTCCAGTTTCTAATGAGAGAGTAAATATTCTAAGTAACAAGACTACCATTTCCGTGCTACCATTTTTGTACATGACAGATGGTATGTCATCTGTTCCAGTACTACCATTAGACTTCAAAGTCTTAATCGCTGAGTCTATATTTTGCATATTAAAGTCTATTTCGCCTAATTTGTGGTTGCTTTTGCAAGTCATTTGGAAATTTGGGGTTGGGTGCACTCTGGCGTCATTGCAAAACCACTCATTGAGGAGTTCGCTTATAACCTGGGGATCATTGTATATTATACCCTTATGCTCCAAGCTGCTTACAGTATTGTCTTTACTACTTTTTAGACGTCTCTGCAATATCCTACAAAGTTCCTGAGTTTTGGAGTTACCCACAAGCGCTTTATTTTCTTCAAGTTGTGACCTCATTTTGTGTTTCTCTTCAAGCCCTTTAAGAGTTTCATGTATTTGGTTTAACGCATTAAATTCCTTAAATACATGGTATTTCCTTTTCAATTTCTTTAGTTTTAGTCGCGTTTTGCGGTCGATAGATGGAGTTGGTGTCTTTAGAGCAGATTTTAGGGGCGCGATTATGTCTCTTGCTGAGCCAATTGTTTTGTAGAAAATATCGAGTGATACTTCTAAGTTATTGTTAATGAAGTATTCTTCCCAGTCAGAACTTCTCAGCAGATCTGATAGGAATTCCCAATCGGCATTCTTATAGTCCCTATACTGATAGTGCACCGGGGAATTTTTAGGTGTGTGTTTAGTTGTTAGTCGGAATGGTAGCGTGCAGTACAATATGTTGTGATCACTGTTATCAAGTTTATTTCCTACCTCTATCGAGATGGGCTCAATTTCATGACAAAGGATTAAGTCAAGAGTGTTTTCATTTCTTGTAGGGAGGCGTACGCACTGCTTCCATCCACCTACGTCTATAGCTTGTAGTAGCTCGTCATGGATTCTAGGTCCTGTACAGGTATCCCAGTTTACTCCAGGTAGGTTGAAATCGCCACAAACTACTTTGTAGTCAAAGTCCAGCGTAGCTGCATGCTCTAGTATTTCTCCAATAGCTATATCAGTCATTTCAGGGCTATTAGGGGGTCTATATAAACATCCCACGAGAATTTTATTTTCGTTTGTGTGGATGCTTATCCACTTAGATTCAGGGAGTTTGTCAGTAGTTGGGTTATTGAAAGTATTGGAGTTAGTGGATTTAGAGGCATATATTAAGCAGCCGCCTCCTCTTTTGTCAACTCTATCGTTCCTATAGATGTCGTAGTTGTCTATTACTAGCTTTGAGTCAGGTATATCAGTAGTAAGCCAGGTTTCAGTCACCATTATTAGTGTTGGCCGTTCTATGTATGCCAGGCAGCGAAGCGATGTTATTTTGTTAAGGAGGGATCTAGCATTCAGGAGCATAATCGTTAGTAAACCAGAGTTATTGGGGGAGAGGTTAACATGGTTACTTGTTACTATTCCTACGTTATGTTTGGAGGGGCTCTGAGGTGAGACAGAGTCAGTGTGTGTACTATTTCCTGGATGAATTGTGCAGCGAGTGGGGCTATTGTTTGCTGCATCCGAAAATAATCCTGTTGCATGTTTTGACTTTTAGCATCCATGGGTGGGCATCTGCGTTCATTTACTGGTGATATATAGTTTGCTTGACCTAGGTACCCTGTGTTAAGATTACCTTGGTAGTTGTACCTCATGGGTCTTACATAGTCGTATGAATATTGGCTCACATCACATGTGTGAGTGAAGTTATTGAGAGGGTCATGTGTCGATCTATACTCATTATGTTGCTGAGGTTCAACATAGATAGTGTGAGAGTTTGGAGAAGAATATGCATTAATATGGTGCCTATACGAGCCCCGTTTAGTGCTCCTTATATCCTGATGATCCGTTCTACGTTGCATTCCCAAGTTATGTGCGTTGCTAGGTATATTACTCCTAGTTCGGGAAGGGGTGTTCCCATTCACATGATGGATGACTTTTTTGGGAATATGGTTTTTTACCCATGCATTGTCTTTTTTTAGACTGGCATGTTGCTTATTAGACTTATTGAGAGGGAGGTATGTCGAAGTCTGGAGTGGGACTCTAGGCTTTGTCGTCTTTCTTGCAGTTTCTACTGCGGGACTCTCGGGCTTGCATCCAGATTGAGTGTGGTCTGCCAGTGGTTTCTGGTCAGACATAGTTTGTGAGTCAATATCAACCTCATGTATGTCAGCAGGTTTTCCAGATGTGCTCTCATGTACTTTGGGATTGCACCCAGTGACACTGCTCTTACTGAGTTTCGAGTCGCTTTTACTTGCCGATTTTTTTTCCAACACTATACAGGTGACTTGCTGTGCTTCAGTGTCCGTCGACACTTTAGCACTGATACCAGGTGTAGTTCTCGGTGTGGTCAACTTTCTATCGAAGGAGTTCTTGGTCGCTTGCCTTTGGTTAGTTGTTTTATCCGAGACTACTTTAATAGTCTTGAATTTAGTGGCAGTAGCCAGAAGATCTTCGGCCTTCTTAAATCGTTCAGCTATTATGTAGCTGTCGAACCTAAAGAGTATAGGACAGGGATGCTTTAGGTCTTTCTTACTTAGGCGAATGCACTGACAAGGTGCACTCAAGAGATTTGCAGCCTTCAGCAATGAGTGCTGGACCGACTTAATGGGCTCGCTATCTGGTACATTATACACTATAGCGTTTTGTTTCGAAGCCAGCCTTTTAACAACTTCGCTGGATAGAAAGTCAATGGCGTTTTCTAGCTCCTTCGCATTTTCTGAGTCAGTAGGCGTCATTCTAGAGGTCATATTGAAAAGCTTTAGGATTGTAGGATCCTGCAGTTCCTTTTTCATAAGTGAGATTGTTTCGGGTATACATTCAAATGAACTTAATTTCGTTTTTAATTCATCAATCTGTAGCTGCATCTCTTTAATAATGCATGTTAAGTAAGAGAGCTCCACTTTTTCAGACAGAACATCTTCCACCTGTATTACAGGGGTCAGAGTTATGTTCGAGTCTTTTCTGTTGGGTGAACTACTAATAATAAGGGGTGGTAATGTGTTATTAGACGAGCTGGTGCTATTTTCTAAATTACTGGTGTTCACACGAACACTCTTTTTAGAATTTCGGCCCATCGTTATTAAAGATTGATCAACAGTAAGCAATAAATGAATATAAACGAAAACACGTGCAAAAAGCGTCACCTGGTTCGAACGTACCGGGCTTTAGAGTCTACAACTTGCAGACTATTAAGTCTGATCGTTGGTTGGTCGGTATAAAACTTTTGGAAAAACATTTTTAGGTAGGCTTGTATCCCTAAGGTAAGCAATAAATGAATATAAACGAAAACACGTGCAAAAAGCGTCACCTGGTTCGAACGTACCGGGCTTTAGAGTCTACAACTTGCAGACTATTAAGTCTGATCGTTGGTTGGTCGGTATAAAACTTTTGGAAAAACATTTTTAGGTAGGCTTGTATCCCTAAGGTTTTCTTACACTGTTGCTGAGACTCATGATACTATGCACGTATGAGAATTAAAGTTAGAACTAGTCTCCCTTATTATTTTGTCTTTAACTCAACGGAAAACCTCATTTATCCAAATAAAAACAGTTCTGCATTTCTAAAGGTGTAGAAATTGTCAAGTTCTCAGCTCACTGTCTCCACTAAATGTTGACCGAGTAAAATTTATTATTGAAGATTTGATTTCGAATGCGCCATTTCGACGTTAACGTTACTTTACAATGAATTTAGAACTTCTTGGTGATTATTATATTTTGTAACTTATCTTTACTTCTTTTGCAGAAGCATTTCACCAAAATTATCCTGAGGTAAGATTCTCAGATAATATTGACTTTCCAGGCTGCAGATGGGTACTTGGAGCGAATAAAAAAAGATGATGGGAGCAAAGATGCTGGATGTGCTACTTATGCTATAACACTACAGTTTAATCGTATTGGAAGCCTTATTGCTATTGGCTGCAATGATGGAAGAATAGAAATATGGGATCACGTCACAAGAAGAATATCAAAAATACTGGTGGCTCACTCACACCCAGTTTGTTCATTAAGGTATTTCAATAGTTTTTCATTCATTCCTCTTGGTTAGTTGGAGTAGAGACAGCAAAAAGCTCCTCAGTGCATCAACTGATAATACAGTCTCTATATGGGATGTTTTGTCCAGTGCTTGTGAGCAGACATTTCAATTCCCCTGTCCTGTAATGAAAGTTCAGTTCAATGCGAGAAAACGCGAACAGTTTCTTGTTTGTCCTATGCGACATGCTCCAGTTGTTATCAGTGTTCCTAGTGGTGTTCCAACTATTATACAACCAGAAGATGAGGTAAGAATACTAGAGGTTTTTTATATATTATAAAGCAGTGTATAAATGTTTTAATATTCGCGAACTAAATTAAATTCACGAGACTTAAAATACCTATGATTTATCTTAAACACAGTCCATGGTGTACAGTAATACTCGCTTGTTGAATGCTTTTCATAAGCACGCTTATTTGCGTTTCTTGGTTCTCATTCCTTTACAGTTTTGTTTTCCTACTTAACGTGGTTGTTTTGTTATGTTTTGTGGTGCATTTCTCAGCGGCCTTAAGAAATAAAAGGCGTTGGCGAACACAGAAAGTACTAAGATGTAATGGCATGTATATATAGTCTTCCACTTCGAAATGTACCTATATGACGCTACTAGAGAACAGTTACAAGGCTGAAACATAACGGCTTCTTGATCGTTCAAAATTCGAAATATATTTTGGGGACAGTGAAGTTGGGTTAAACTAACCAGAGACCATACACGAACGGTCGAACTTCACACGACTGTGTGTCCATTATCGAGGGTACTTAAATGCCTGTCTTTGTCTTAACCACGTGAGTCAGCACCAGGTGTTAAATGATTGTAGCTCTAAATCAGTTATTTTGTTGAGTCGTTTTTCGTTACAAGTTCATACTACACAACATTTGTGTTAAGAGTTTACTGTAAGCTCACAACTCACACGAGAAAAGTAAAGTAATCAAACCCACTAATGGTCTGAATAAGACAGCTTTATTCAAATTCATGAAGGGCATTAATGGTATGTTGGTATTTTTGTAGGATACGATCTTTGAAACTTTTAAAACTGATTGTTGTGTTCTGATGGAGGTATATGTTCAGTCACTGCTTCTTGGATTCACCTATTATGGAAATTGATGTCTTCTTGGAGTAACTAAAACGTGGAAAATAGACTAATTTGATAAGAAAACAGAGCTCGGAAAACCAGTGCTTGATACTTATCGCACTGAAATTAGCTGGTGGTAAAGGGTATTGTCATCCTCATAAAAATTCTTTACTCCAAATACAAATATTCATGGAATCAGCTGTGTTGTACTGCTTCTTCAGATTGACTTTTTATAACTTCTATGAACACAAAGGTAGGGTAACATTAGTTGGCTAGTTGTCCTATAGAAACACCTTACTGCCGCTTCTCTCTTCCTTTCTTAAAGTGCGATTTTCCCATCAATCTCCTACGGTTTAAGCTTGTGATGGTGGTTATTTTTAATTATACCTCTATCCAACTGGTTTTTATATCATGATAAGACTTGAAGGATATTCGTTCCATCCAAAATAGGTCGTTGAGTTACTGCAACATGTATTTCTGACTATGATGTCAATGCAGAACTTAGCGGTAAAGGTTTTTTAAAAATTGAGGCAATTGTGGTATGTGATTTTACAATCAGACTTTTTAATTCCATATTAATTGCTATGCATACAAGTTCGTTAGTGCAGCGTCATATATATATATCTTCTAGTGATTAAAGGTTAATCAGTATATTTTTGATTGAACACTAGTCAGTAACTAGTGTAATGTGTCTAGTCCTATCTTCGGTGAAGACTGAATTCTATCAGTCATGTTTGCAATGTGGCCACCATGCTAGGTGGCTCGCCATTACGGTGCACTGTGAATTGTTGGTACTAGATGGTTGGAGGCAATCGGCAGGAAGCCTTGGACCTAGGTTTCGTGCTAGTTGGCACTCATCAGCAAGGCGTATCTGCAACCTTGAAGGAACTGATGTCCCTTCTGAGATTCGAACCCGCGTCACCCAGTGCTGCAGTCAGAGACGTTACCACTGAGCTATTCAGGCTCGCGACTGACCTCCTGTAGGACTGTATTGGATTCCTGCCGATTGCCTCCAACCATCTAGTACCAACAATTCACAGTGCACCGTAATGGCGAGCCACCTAGCATGGTGGCCACATTGCAAACATGACTGATAGAATTCAGTCTTCACCGAAGATAGGACTAGACACATTACACTAGTTACTGACTAGTGTTCAATCAAAAATATCCAGTACAGTCCTACAGGAGGTCAGTCGCGAGCCTGAATAGCTCAGTGGTAACGTCTCTGACTGCAGCACTGGGTGATGCGGGTTCGAATCTCAGAAGGGACATCAGTTCCTTCAAGGTTGCAGATACGCCTTGCTGATGAGTGCCAACTAGCACGAAACCTAGGTCCAAGACTTCCTGCCGATTGCCTCCAACCATCTAGTACCAACAATTAATCAGTATATATCCACAGTTTTATTAATACTTCATGTAACTGTATCTAATGGAGTGTAATTCGGTTAACTTTTTAGAATGACTTCAGTGTCGTTGCGTCATATGATCGCCGTGGTCGTTATATATACACTGGGAATTCCAAAGGCAAAGTAAGATTAATATATTAATGTTCACTTTAATATTTCAATATTCTTTATAAAGGTTTTTTCACCTTTTATCATTGTTTCCTTAACATAAATAGCGTAGATATTGAAGTATCATGCTTTGTAGTCGATAAAAGCGTCTCACCGATATAAGACTTCTACATTAGTAGAAAAGAGTTGCAGTTCGACAATTTCACTTGTATTCAGTGGGTTTTTTAATTTGATTTATGTAGTAATTCTATTAATAGGTCCAATATTTGTCTTTTTCAATCAAAGCAACTGTATTTTAAAATTATCTGTTATGATAAGTGTAATTCATAACCAACTGTCAAAATTTATAAGGTATCTTTGATTTGTCGTCGGCTAAATTAAAGAAGAAGGATTTATCATGAATCGTTTTACACCTTTGATACATACTAAGGATTAAAAACTTATAAAGGCTATCAAATGTGTTTTATTTACATGATCTGGTACGACCAGGAGTAGGTAGACTTCTGTTTTCCTGTCGAGATGCTCTGTTCATAAGCTCTTCGGTAAAGTTAAACAATAACGTCCCAAGGGATGCAGATGCATGAGTGACCTAGAGCCAACCAACCATAAAAATAAATGAATTTCGTACAAAAAAGACTTTTGTTTAAAAGAAAATGCATGGAAACATTAAACAGAGTACCTTTCTCTGACATCACTTAGTAATACGTCTCAGTTATAGTTAGGAGTATTAATTTTTAAGTTAGACCAGTTTCTGTACACCGAGGTGACTTAAGGTGAGCTTTTTTGTGGTGCGTTTATCGCTCCTATCCTGTTGTGCAGTCTTCCCCAAAAGCCCTCGGTTGAACTGCTGTGGTTTCCAGTAAGAAATCGACAACTCCATACTGGCAAAATGTGGATGTTAAAATAAATTAAAATAAATAATACCAATTCTAAATCTATCCCTAATCGTAACCTTTAACCTTAATCCTAATTATAACCCTTATCCTAACCGTAAACCTAACCCCAATCGTAATTACAGCCGTGATCCTAACCCTAATCCTAACTCTAACGACCTATTAACACATTATCCAAACAGTACTTCAAAACGTTATCTGGGTGAAATTTGCTCCTTAGTTGTGAAAAGCGTTCACATTAGCGATATAGTAATGATAGGTGTCCTTGGCCAACGACTAGCATGCATTCAAGGTCGTAGGAGCGTTCGCATCCCTTGGGACGCTATTGTTTAACTTCGCCACCTCTTCAAGGTAAATCCTCTTCACTGCCTTCACGCGGCAGAGTTGTTCTCCACAAAAGTGAAAGGTTGCGTGTGTAAACGTCTGGCGCTTAAAACTGGACCGGTGGACATACAGTTCTACCTTGGGGGAGCTGGAAAGCCATGATCCCAAACCTGTAGTGTGTATAGGCTTCAGAATCCGGATTGATTGAGTGACGTAGGACGAACCTGCTTTTGTCACCGTAAACCATGAGAATGTATCTCCTCACGTTACTCCACTGATTTGTGGATTAAACTTCATGTCAAAGCTTAGGAGTTGGCTTCCTAAGACATCCACCATCTTCGGTCTTATCGTTCGGACTATGTCTCAGACCTCTCACAAACTATACGATTTTGTGTAGCGCTTCTCTTGATACCCATATAATGTACCAAGTTTGTAGTTTCCTAGAAAATAATTATGTACTTTTTGCAGATTGATTCACCGGTTTTGTTTTACAAATTTATCTAGGTTTGTATATACGACACAACAGATTTTCAGTTGATCAGTTCATTCAAATCGACATCAGCGGCAAATGCTGCGATTAAATCGATTGAATTCGCTAGACGTGGAGAGTAAGTTGTGGTGTATATCTCTTGTATATCTAACAAAATCCTTTTTATATTAAATAGCTATATGTATCATCTTTTTATTCCTTCACGTTCCCAGTGGAACATAAGCCTTCAAGCTAGAGGCTTGAAGTTTCTGTAGCAGTGTTTATTTTTAAAAAATGGGGTTGCTAGTCTCATGCCCAACCTTTCCTCTTTACCAGCTTTATTTCTAGCTTAGTGAGGTAAAGGAGTGCGTCGGCGGCCGGGGATCGAACCCCGGACCATGTGTATGGTCGGCGAGCGTCCTAACCGCCGTGCCATCGACGCACTATATGTATCATAGGTAACATCTTCCCATTACAATTTTATGTTACAGTTCATTGACTTCATTTGTTATAATTGACTATACTACCGCTAAACATAATTCAAAATGTAGTTCCATATTAATTTGTTTATTAGATGTATCACACACAGAGTGTGAAACAGTATTATTATTATTTACTGGATGACGACAAAGTTTTGAACATAATAAATTATTGTTCATAATAATATCACCAATTATAACCACACAACTTCGAAAATTTCGTTTTAAACTGGATGACACATTCACCGTACTTAGAATACAGGATATAAATAGATTTTTTGAACATATCAACTCAAAGGTAGAGGCAATTCAATCGACTTATGAGTTGGAAAGTCAGGAAGGGGAGCTTCCGATGTTAGATTGTAGCATAAAAAGGAAAGAAGATGGGAAGTTAAACATACTAGTGTGTTTACAGGAAACCCACACATTCAAACCGATATTTGGACTTCCGATCATCCCACCCACGCTATGTCAGTAAAAATACTATTGGTGAAATGTTTAAGTAATAAGCACAAAAACTAAGTAGTACCAAAGAAAATCTAAGACAGGAAGTGAAGCTTTGAAACTTAATAATTACCCTGATAAATTAATCAGGAAGTATGTAGGAGAGTGTAAAAATAAAATTAATTATAATAGTAGTGGCAGTGACAATAATAATATTGATGACGATATGCATGTCAAACATGCGGAAGATAATGACAACACCGACAATAGGGAATATAAACCATCAGCAGTTCTTCCATACAAGGAAAACACCTCGGAAACCATCTTACGTAGGATTCTTAACAATGCAATCAGGAGTAAAAGTGGCTGGTGTTAAAACCCACAAACTCAATTAGAAAAAAGCTCTGCCGGTTTAAGGGTCCTGTGGAGCCAATTAAACAAAACAATTTAGTTTATCTAATACCCTGCCTGAGATACTTGTCAGGTCAAATACATAGGTCATATTAGTACAATAGGGTCAGCCAGTCACACCAGTGGAGCACAAAACTAGCTAAATCTATTTAAGAAATCTGAAGAATAGTTCATGGAGAATAGCACTACATGCAATTACATACAACTATGCATACAATAGGATGGGATAAATTGAGTTTTAAAATCTAATGTAAGAGAGTGGAGGGAGAGATTGATAACGGAATTTTTGCTTATGGAATCAACTGCAAACACGTGCAGTAGGAATAATTCAACACCTATCCACCCGGAAATCTGGAAAATTCTACTACCCCTACAACGGTGAATAGGAGAGAATAAAGAAAACTATAAAACGCAAGTTTCGAATTTGTGTAGTTCTAACTGATGATATGATTATGAACAATAATAAGTCGTGTTCGAAACTGTGTCATCCAGTAAATAATAATAATAATGCTGTTTCACACTGTGTGATAAATCTAATCAACAGATTAATATGGAATTGCATACTTCCACAGTGCCCAAGTTCTACACATATATTAATAGCTCAAAATGTTAAAAAAACTGTTATGTCTATTCATTACTATTTCAAAACTTTAGTCCTCAAAGGTTAATCATGGCTTAACTTTGACAAGGTTACACTTTACTCATGGAATATGTAAAATTTTTCCTTGTTGTTGGAAAAAATCTCTATATGACCAAAATAACATTTATCTTATCCTATAGTATATAAGCTTTAGCCTTGAGAAGTGTAAGCTGTTGCACCGTATTTTACTTTACTGTCCTTTCAAATAAGAGTCATTTCATTTTACGTGAAAAAGGAAAGTATTTGTATGATGTTTTAGGGGCTGAAGATATTGACGTTCACGGATATTACGAAGTATACTAACGCAAGATCTAATACCCACAACTTCTATAGTATTCGTTCCGTGTAGACCAAAGGCTAAGCAAAACACTAGAATTGACCGTTCAAATCGGAGTGCGAGATGATTGCTTAACTAGCTAGGGATCGTGCACGAACGAACGAACGTAACACGAGGGCGTACCAAATGGCGCCGACGCTTGACCGGAAGCCTTCAGCTAAAGAAGTTGACAGTGAGGGTCAGCATCCAGTGTTCAGTGATGAATGCTGTGGCCAGTAATTCTGGGGAATTACCTACCGCTTCAATGTCAATCTCACGGGTTTAGTTTATGTAATACATTCTGATGTCAGATGGCTGAAGGCAATAGATAAGAAGCCCTCCAATCATGCGACATCAATCAAAAGTTCACTGCAGTGATACTTCATTTAGCTGGGTGATTACACTGCAAACCTAACTGACACAATTCAGTTAGCAGCTCAGCGCTAAGAATTATACATTCGAGAACGGTTACTCCCAAATAATCAGTCAGTGTACCGTTGTCCTTGTCACTGAAGTTACTAGTTGCAGCATAACTGTGCTAAGTATCTCTAATCATTGTAACATTTTCCCGTTTTGTATAGTAATGAGTATCGTTTTTTTACAACACCCTGAGTATAAAGTACCAATTGCTACCACTGAAAGTCTGATTGACTGATATTTTACGTTAGTCAAGCTACCCCCGTCCCTTGTGATTTGTCTCCCTGCTTATAAACTTCAATAATCAATGATTTACAACAATCCAACTGGAATATCTTAGAGTCTTAATATCATAGCTCGGATAACACTTCCTCACAACCCTCCTTAGACACATCCCAGCGCTCTACCTCATTTCAAACTAGAGTCAGTTCTCGCAACTTCAATCACGTTTGGAGGATTGATGTCGACATCTCACGCAAGTAGATTTGGGATGCTGGACAAACTTAACATGACTGCAGGCCAGTCAAATTCCTCCTAAATGTGTTCACTGCAACACTCCAGTTTTCTATCCGTTTCTCTCGGAGATCGTCTCACTTATCATTTATCTTTTACAACCTACCTCCTCAATAGGCCTAAATATTTGTCTGGTGTTAGGTACCCACCTCACCCTCATCCATGACTATTTTTCTTCCACCACTGCTCATGATCGTGACGCGATTATCTATTAATTCCCTAATTTAAAGACTACATATATTCTCATCAAGTCGGGTTGACTGGGTGGTGGGTATCGTCCTCATTTCCACCTGTTTCCTATGTCCCTTCAGTCGTAGGTCGCATATGCGTACAGACAAGAGCGTGATCTTAGTCTGCGCATGTGTTCCTTTCAGTTAAAGGATAGATTAGTGCGTAAGCTAAATTTCGATTACAGGATTTTCATCATGATCTGACATTAGTTAGAGAACCATTGGAAAACCTGGGAGTACTGGACAGCTGTTTCGTCCTAGTTTGGGACTCTTCACAGTGCTCACCCACCAGGATTCGAACCCAGGACCTTCTGGTTACAAGGCGAGCTCGTATCCCATTGAGCCAATGGGACCCGGTCTAATGGCTCATGAATTCTAACTTGTGCCAATTCACGATATAGCGCGACCCCTAGCCAATGTCTTCGGCGAGTATTTGTCGTCACACCCGACCTGCTTCACTCTACTGGTCACGAATTCTCACTAGAATCCCAGGTAACTACCTACCTGAATAGGGCAAGTCGCTTGTAACCAGAAGATCCTGGGTTCGAATCCTGGTGGGTGCGTACTGATGAAGAGTCCCAAACTAGGACAAAACAGCTGTCCAGTACTCCCAGGTTTTCCAATGGTTCTCTAACTAATGTCAGCTGATGATGAAAATCCTGTAACCAATCAAATCCCTACAAACCAACACTTAAATTCCGATTAATATTTCAAAATGGCTATTGAAGTTAATTTATTATTCTAAGTGCATTTGTAATTACTGTTTACACACATACACAATGTTTTTTTTTAAACAAAAATCTTGATAACATTTCGACAGTAGTTACCAAAATTTTAAAAAAATAAGCAAACAAACAAACAACTTATCATTCATCGTGTGTAGAAATAAGTAGTCATTACATATTATATACACTTATAATATATTGATCCATTCAGCTATGCATAAACTTTTCATAAACATTATTAGCATTGAAGTTCGATTTGGTAGAGTGTTTTGATTTCATGAATTATGATGGTCAACAATATACACTGATTAATGAGTGAAGAGAGAGTCGGTGGCTCAGCGGTAGAATGCTTGCCAACCACGCCTCATGTGGTCTTGGGTTCGATCCCCGGCCGCCGACTCACTCCTTTACCTTACTAAGCCAGTAATAAAACTGCTAAAGAGGGAAGGTTGGCCTAGGTGAGGCTAGCAACCGCATCCTGTAAAAATCAAAAATAAACATCATTGCTACCGAAACTTCAAGCCTCTAGCTTGAAGTCGCCGTATGTTCCACTGGGAAAGTAAAGGAATTTTTTTAGAAAAAAGTGAGTAAAGAATATTCGTTTCGATAACATTTTCATCAGTTCTACTACATTTTCGTTCATAGCTTTGTTCGTTGTCAGTAACAAAGAAATTTTGATAAGGTTCCTCAACTGACAGGATGAGACCTGTTTGTTCAAAAGATGAACTTAAAGTTGTGTATGATACGTTATAGCGAAAATATTTATTCAGACATCTATAAAACACAAAATAATTGAGCCAGCAAAGAATATCCTTTTCGATAAATTCCTCTTCTGGCTCTACAATTACAAATAAATAAAATCGATTTGTAAAGTAAGATCACAATGGAATTACAGTTCACTAAAGATGCATAAATTATAATAATAATAAAAATATAATAGCAAATAGAATATCAACTAAAATTAAGGAAATTTCTACAAAAACCCGAGGATCATTCAAACCTAGATGGTCAAGGTAAGGATAATGTCTGAACTAGCTTCTTTTGGACACATAAATTAGGCTTCCTGATGTGGATCCCAACAACTAGCCTCAGCAATATTTAGTAGCCGAACTCTTAAGGCAAAGGTAAGATTTGTTGGTATGCGGTAAATGACTTTGAAAGGCACCTCGTTGACATCAATCTTGTGTTCTGTATCCACAAGATGAGTTAGAATAGCGCTACGAATAGATTTTGTTTTTCCTTTACTTAACCACTATGCATGGTGATGTTGAGAAATCCGACGAAAACCACGCCTATTTGTACGGCCTCTGTAACTGGCTCCGCAGGAACAGTTGAATTTGTAGATGCACATGGAAGAGGCGAAATTAAGCAGTTTATCTTTCACTCCCGAACACAAAATATGGGAGTGGTGGTTTTGAAGACACTCCACGATTGCCCATAGCCTCCAATCTGCTCTTCATACGATATCTAACATGTCACCCTCGGACGCCCAACTTGTTATTTCCCATTCAGGCTCCACTTGTGGGCCTAGCATGCGATGTCCTTCGGCAGTCTCTTCAGCATATGTCCAATCCATCTCTATTTTCTCCTACATATTTGTTGGCTGATGACAGACTCCTGATTGGTTCATTCCCAGAGTTTCTTGTTGCTAATTTTTTCTGACTGGCCATCTGAAATTCAGTATGGAGCCACTGAAGTTAGCAGTCGATAAAAAGACTGATATAGCCTGTTGGAAATGCTTTTCGTGACGTGCAGTGAAAGTTTCTAACCCCTATTGAAAAAGTGACTTAACACTCATGTTGAAGATCTGAATCGCGTTGTTTATTCTGAGTGCAACTGAATTATAAACTGATTTCAGAGTGGTTACTGAACAAAGAACACTTTTCGATAATTTCAACATCAGGCTCTACAGTTATATATACATTATAGTGAATGAATTATTTAGTATTATTAACAAAATTAATGCTGTTTAATAACATCGAATCAATATTGATAGTATCAATGGATTACAGGTTGCAGACCTTTATCAACAACTGTCTTCGTTCTCTACTGAAGATTAGATGGCCGGAAACAATCACAAACAAGAAACTATGGGAAGAAATAAAACAAGAACCAATCGCCGAACAAATATGCAGAAGAAAGTGGAGATGGATTGGACACTCGCTGAGGAGGCCGCTGAGTGACACCGCGCGTCAGGCCGTCGAGTGGGACCCGAAATGGAAGCGGCGAGTGGTTCGTCGGTGCAAGGGTGATATGGAAGAGATCGTGTGAAGAGGAGTTGAAACAGTGTGGATTAACATGGATGCAAGTAAAAAGTACAGCAGAAGACAGAAGCAAGTGGAGACGTGTAGTTGAAGCCCTATGTTCCACTAGGAACCCAAGGGAACAATAATAATAATATATAATAATCATCAACATAACAATAAACTGAATATCAGAAATATTAGGAAAGATAATATTACAAATTCATGAATTTATAGTCTCTAATGAAGGCCGGTCAGGGCAGTGTTAGTTGCTGGACTTGCTTCTTTTGCACACAAAGCGTTGGTTTTTTCACGTGAATCGCGATAGCCTCTACTGTTTGGAGCATGCGGTACCTCGATGTTTTTGGCAATTTATTTGGTACGTGGTAGATGATAGAGAAGGATTCTTCAATGCTGGCTGGCTTTGTGGCCAGTCGGTCTAATATCGAACTGTTGATAGTTTTTACTACAATTTTATTTAACCATACTGGGAGATGTTCCCGAGCTAACACGAAAGATCAAGTTCCTAGAGCAACAGCCGATATAACTTGCTCCACGAGAAGCACAGCTGAATTAGTAGATACAATTGGAATTGGCTGGCTAGTCTAGGTACTTCATCTTTCGTCAACTGAGGAATCACCATCGGTCGTGTAGAAAATTAGACTTGTGATAAAGGTGTGTTCTGCCTTTCCGATCCTGGTTCTGACATGCTCATCCGTGTCGTCCGCCTGTAGTTGAAATGATGCTGCATAATCGAATAAACGAAGGAAGTGACCTCCTTTTGAAATTTCTTCTGTTGAAAGTGTTTGGAAAAATTAATCTAAATCTCCACAAGAACCCACAATCTAAATATATTATGGCACATTTCTGAACAATTCCTTCATCTTGTTGGCCTTTCTATATTTGATCATTTTTTCCAATTATCAAATTCCCTTTAGGTATAAATTAAAACCAAAGTTTTGCAAGTTTTTGTAAATATATTTTTATCCATATATCCTTATGTACATTCTAGATACTTCCTACTGAATTGCGCTGATCGAGTTATTCGAGTCTACAATTGTGAAGATGCTTTGAATGGAAGTACAGCAGATCCAGAACCAATTAAGAAATTAAAAGATCTTGTTACTGGGTAATTTTTTTCTTTTTTTTTGATGTCTTGTTTTTTTCTCAGCTTCTGTTTCTGAATTTTTAAGGATAGTGTATGACTGAATATGACAGGATTCGAATCTACGGACGTGTTGTTTGAAATCTGGGTAAACATACTGAATTTTATTATTTGGTTAGCGGTAACTCCCAGTGGACACACCAGTACATGAGTTTCGTCATGTTTTGGGACTCCCGACCGATAGCTGCTACCTTGACATGGTGGTCACCTGGCTTGCGTATCTCAATGATCCAACAAGCTACACTGGCTGGAACTATTGTTCCTGCAGGTTCTACCATGCCAGTTATCGGGATAGTGTAAGAATTGTTTTTTTACACTATGCTGGGGGTCTGTGGGCGAAGTCGTACTTCTGGGGAACAGGAATGTGACAGCAGTAAGGTGTTTCCCTCAGGCGATCAGCGTGCCAGCCAGCTATGCTGTCTCTCCACTCTGGAGAGAGGGGGTTAGAAAAAGTCGACCCTAACAATTGCACATCTCGACTTACCCTATAGTGGTCCGTAACCGGCGGTAAGTTTACTAATAGGGTAGTAATCGAAGAAACCAGTTCATACGGGCCGTGTGTGACCGGCCTCAAGCAGTTTTCCCCTGGGCTCTGCGGTCACACAACACTTAGTCTCTTTTTGTTTCAGGTACCTCAAAAGTGTATCAAATTCTACGGTGTGGTGAGGGGGCAGCTGGGAAGTAACAACCACCCACACACTTCCAAGAGCACACGAAGCCTCCCCAAGCATCATTCTTATTTACAGACAGGCAGACAGACAGATATCGACTTTATCCGCTTGCATTCCCAGTACGTGATGCTGTTTGCACTGAAACTTAGACGCTGCTCAGTACACACTTCCTTTGATCGGTAGGCAGATATCGCGTCTACACCGGAAATAACACTAAAATACCACATGAGCCTTATGTATTCGTGCTGAGATTTCGTCCAGCAATCAGTCCATTGGGGCTGATGCAACTTCCCAAATAGGTGAAGTCATCTATGCTTGGAGTCTGTGTAGTCCTAACCTGTAGCATTATCTTACATTTGACAGGAGCGCATCGCATGACATGCCAAACATTCGAAGATATCTGCTCAGGGTGTTCAAAAGCCTTTGGATTTTGTATAGTTGTTCGGAAACAGTTAGCAAGCAATCCATTTCGAAGGCATGTTGTTTTAGTCGTCATGTGTTCGGTTTCTAATTTCAATGTAAATAATTTTACTGGTGGCAAAACTGTCTGGGATAACAATGAGTTCCCAGACTGTTGTGTGTTGATAATAGAATGGCTGCTAAATGAAGGTGAGATGAAAATCGAGGTCGTAGCCAGATTCCAACCTTCATTCGCCATCCAAATATTAAAACAGTTCTACACTAGAAGTAATTTGTTGGATAGTAATTAGCCGTGGAATCGATAATGCTCGTTTCGTCCTATTTAGGACTCGTCACCTGGATGCATCTGTATTCCTCCACTGAGGCTCTAACCCAGTATCCATAATTTCAAAGTTCAAAGTGTTGTCCACAAGACCACTTGGGCCATGAGAGCCACCTCTTACTATTTAACTCAATTTGTACTTTCCGTTGATTGATTGGACCGAAGTGCTCGGCCTGTGTTGACATGTCGGTTCCTCTTCTAATCACCACCATCGGGTTGGTGTAAGTCACTGATCATCCCGATATACAAGAAGGGAGACAAGTCTTCTTGTGATAATCACAGAGGGATTAGATTGACTAATATAGTATCTAAAATCCTGGGCTCCATAATACTGCGTAGACTAAATGGTGCTTGGGAGGCACAAACACGAGAAACCCAGACAGGTTTTAGGCCAGGAAGAGGGTGTATTGATCATATCTTCATCCTTCGACAGACTCTAGAACATCGGCATTCCTACCGGCGTCCGACAATCACTATATTTCTTGACCTAAAGGCGGCATTCGATTCTGTCGACCGAGAGGTACTTTGGCGATGCTTGGCTGTAAAGGGAATGCCGAGAAAATACATAGCACTGATTAAGGCACTCTACTCATACTCATGCAGCCAGGTGAGGGCCTATGGCGAGTTGTCATCTGAAGTGGTGACGACTAGTGGTGTCCGTCAAGGATGCCCATTATCCCCATTCCTATTCAACTTCATCATAGACGTACTAATGGAATTAACCCTAACACACTTCAGCGACTCAGGGATTGACTTGCTACCAGAGAATAATCTCGTCGACTTAGAATATGCGGATGATACAGTCCTTCTAGGCGAGGACGCTGACAAAGTGCAGAGTCTACTGAACACCTTGAGCAACAATCTTCGTATGTTTGGCATGCGATTCGCCCCTGTAAAATGTAAGATGATGCTGCAGGATTGGACTTCATCGATGCCTAGATTAGAAATAGGAAGTGAAGTGGTAGAGCACGTTGACCACTTCACTTACTTGGGAAGTACCATCAGCCCCAACGGGTTGATCTCCGACGAAATCTCAGCACGAATACAGAGGGCTAGTTTCGCATATGCCAGTTTACGCCGTCTCTGGCGTAGACGTGACATCCGACTATCGACCAAAGGGCGTGTGTACTGCTCAACAGTCCGCTCCGTCCTCCTTTATGGTTGTGAGACCTGGCCATTGAGAGTTGAGGACATGAAAAGATTAGTTGTCTTTGATCATAGGAGTCTGCGCTCTATCTCCCGTGTGAAGTGGTATAATAAGGTGAGCAATATTGAGGTTAGGCGTCGAGTGCTAGGTAAGGAGGGGAAATCAGTCGACGAGACTGTGAAATTACATTGACTGAGATGGTTGGGACATGTGTTACGTATGCCTAGTCATCGCCTTCATCGAAGGGCAATGTTAGCTGATATAGGGCCAGGCTGGAAAAGAGCTAGCGGCGGTGAAACCAAAACATGGCCTCACCAGTCAATGAAATCCAAAACAGTTAGTTTTAGCCAGCCATGTAGGAAGGTGTAGACTGGCTTCCTTGTTGGGGTCCTCGGGACGGTGAGAACCAATGAAGGCTAGAAACAATTGGTGATATGGCTCAAAATCGTTCTCAATGGCTGGTGCAGATGCATCCACTCCTTGTAACTTATTATTTCAAATGAAACTGTATCGTTCTTCATCATTACTATTCCTTTGTCTCACACCTCTGTTTACTGTCTTTATTATGCATTTCTTCTACTTCCTTCTGTTGCTTTGTGTGGTACATGGAGTGGAGTGTGGCGACTTGAACTGGTGCACATCAGTGCAAAGTTCTATGTCGAAAACCGACCGACCGACCGACTGAATTACTGCAAGTTAACCCTTGAAAATCGTCGAATCATCCGCAGTAGCAGCCGGTATGTCAACAGAGGCTGAAAATTTCAGTCCAGTCAATCAGTGGGAAAGTTCAAATAATTCTACACTTGTTGGTATTATATGATTAGAGGTAATCGGCCGCAGAAGGCCTTGGACCTAGGTTTCGCGCTAGTTGGCACTCATCAGCCAGCAAGGCGTATCTGCAACCTCGAAAGAAAAGCTCTTATCCCTTCTGAGATTCGAACCCGCGTCACTCAGTGCTGCAGACAGAAGTTATCACTGAGCTATTCGGGTTGGCTCGTGACTGACCTGCTCCTGTAGGACTGTATTGGATATTTTTGATTGGACACTGGTCAGTAACTAGTGTAATGTGCCTAGTCCTATCTTTGGTTCAAACTGAATTCTATCAATCAAGTCATGATTTTCTTCCAGGTTTCTGATGAGTGCCAATTAAGACGAAACCTAGGTCAAGCAAGGCTTCCTGTGGCAGATTGCCTCCAACCATCTATTATTAACAATTCACAGTGCAGTGCGTCGTGATGCCGAGCCACCTAGTGATAGGGTGTAGCCACATTGCAAACTTGACTGATGATGGAATTCAGTCTGCACCAAACAAAGGGGACTAGACACACATACACATTAAACTAGTGACTAACTGGTGTCCAATCCAGAAGAAAAATATTCTACACTTGCTTTTTATACATAACATATTTTGAATAATTTGTCTGAATCGTGTAATGTATTTGCGCAACACATTTCGAACAATCTGATCACACACACACGAACTTGTCATAGAAATGAATGTATATGAAATCAACAAAGAGTTAAGAGGTGAGAAAATAGACAAGTTAGGTCAAGTTAAAAGGAGGACATATTGAAGGTCGAAATAACAAGGATGATCACTAAACCAAATAGCAGAGGTTATAGTACATCTGCTATAGTATCAAAACAAAATTTACCAAGTAAGGTTTAGTATGATGACGTGTGGACACACATACATAGGTAGGACTCATCGATCTCTGGCTTCAAAGCATATTCCTAAATGGCTTCAGAAGCAAATAGAATCTTCAGAACCCATTAATGGTGAGATCAGGAGACTTAGCTCCTCTATTACGAAACAAATTATAGAGACAGTACATAAAATTGACGTTAACAGATCTTTTAAATCTATTTATAGAACGTGTTTGGGGTGTATCCTAAAGTTTGTGGAAGCCCTAGCAATTAGAAAGTTGAAACCACCTTTATGCATACAAGGCAACAATTCGTCATCACACTAAACCTTCCTTGGTAAATTTTGTTTTGATACCATAGCAGATGTACCATTACCTCTGTTATTTGGTTTAGTGGTCTTCATTGTTATTTTGACCTTGAATATGTCCTTTTAAACTTCACCTAACTTGTCTATTTTCTCACCTCTTAACCCGTTATTAACTTCAAATATATTTCTATGACAAGTCCGTGTGTGATCAGATTGTTCGAAATGTGTTGCGCAAATACAACATTACACGATTCAGACAAATTACGTCTTCCTTCTTATTGCTTTATCTAAATTCATAAAGGGAACTAATTGTTTTAAATAACATATTTTGTCATGTCTAAAACAAATTTTTATAGGAGTCATTGGAGAAAATGTTGTTTCTCTGGGGATGGTGAATACATTTGTGCTGGTTCAATGAAACAACACTCCATATATTTATGGGAACGTGCTAGTGGAACATTAGTGAAAATTTTACACGGTCAAAAAGGCGAAACTCTGCTGGATGTTGTTTGGCATCCACTCAGACCAATAATTGTGTCGATTTCAAATTCTGTAACAAAAGAACAAGTATCTATATGGGCACAAACACAAGTTGTAAGTGTGATTGTGTAATATAATTGTTGCCGTTTTATATATGTGAATATGTTTTATGTATATGTATTTACTTAGAAATTCAAAGTACGCATAGAATCACATGCTACTACTATAACATTTTTTGAATGTAAGTTCTAAATACGATTTGACAAATCAAATGTTCAACTTCGATCTTAAGTAGACATTATTTAGATGATTGTTATTATTATTATTGTTTCCTTTAGTTCGTAGAGGAACATAAGGCTTCAACCGCACGTCTCCATTTCGTTCGGTTCTCTCACAACGTTTTCACTTGGCTCCACGTATGTTCATATGTTTTCATCTCCTCTTCGCATGACCTCCTCCATGTCACACCCCACCCTCGAACTGACGGCCACGCCGCCGCTTCCCATTCGGCCGCGTTCCACTCGAGCGATGACCTGGCGTGTGATGTCACTCACTTGATGATTTGTTTTCTCAGAATATGGCCAGTCAATCCACCTCCATTTCTCCTTGCATATTTGTTGCACAATTGGTTCTTGCTGGGTTGGTTCGCTTCCAGAGATCCCTCTCTGTTGCTGATCTTTTCTGGCCGGCCATCTGATCTTGATTAGTATTCAGCGAAGACCTGTTGATAAAAGTCTGTAGTTAGTTCGCGGTGCCAATTCTCTGATCCGTACTGGAGTTGAAAATCCGGACCTTATTTCTCGTGCTAAGTCCTGTTGACCTCCATACTGACTTGATAGTAATGAGAACTTTCTTGCCTTGCTTTCCTGATCTTCGCTTTGATATCCTCATCAGTTCCGTCCGCCTGTAGTTGAAACGATGCTTCCCAGGTATGTAGGTAGGTGAACGAGGTTGCTTCTTTCAGATTTCTCCCATTTATGCTGGCTGATTGTTGTCTGTTATTGTCGCTATCGCTGTTGGCCAGGAATCTTCATCACCTCTGTCTTCTCTATGTGTTCACTTGAAGGCCTATCTTCTCTGGATGCTTTCTCTGCCAACTTGTTGCTTTTCACTTGCATATCTTCCAGTTTGTGGGAAATCAGACATATATCATGACATTATTTAGATAGGCATTAAAAATTAGGGAGTACTTCACAGCTACTTCGTCTTTGTTTGAGACTTTTCATCAGTACGCACCCATGCCGCCCCCTACCTCACCAGAAATGGAACCTAGAACCTTCAGGCTATAAGGTGAGGTCGATGACTATTCAGCTACTGGGATGGAATCCAATGTCCCTTGAATATTTCTAGCATCTGCCAACTGATGGTAGTTAGTTATCGAACTTCAAATCAATCAAATCCCTGCAATCCAATACTTGAAAATTAAACCTAGTGCTCATTAGTCACTGACTGACTGACTACAGGAGAAAGTTTCCTGAAGTTGTAGTGGGGAAGTTGTTACCACTTAGGTTCACTAATTCGGCAGTATATGTCGCAAATTGGAAGAAGTTGAAACTCATAGGCCGAGTATTGGATTCCTCTCCGTTGCCTGAATGGTCGTCAGGTGTTCACCTTGTAACCCGAAAGTTCTGTGTACAATATGTGATGGGACGACGTTTAGGTGAGTGCTGTTAAGGAGTCCCGAACAAATGAACGGAACATCTGCTCAGTAATCCCTGTTGTTTTTCAATGATTCTCAAACTGGGGTCAGTTCGTGATTGGTAATGAATTATGTAATAACTTTCATGTGGCTCCTGAAACACTGACACATCAACCTAAGTCACGGGTAGTGTAGGGGTTTGATACACCCGGCTGTGGGGCACTGCTAAACTTTGCCTAGCCGATAGTAGGCGAGGGAAAGTTGGCTGTATGGGGCTAGCAACCCCATATCGTAGGGAAATAACATGAACGCTACTGAAACTTCAAATCTTTAACCTCTATATCTCAATTGGGACGTAAAAGAATGAAGAAAATGTCAAAAGTAAAACATTTGTCGCTTAGCTTGAATCAGTGAATTAGAACACTAAATGTTTTCTCCCATCGATCCAAAACAGTATAAGGTTTTATGTTAATTCATGCTTTGAATGTTACGAGTTTAGAGAAGTTTATCTCATGACATAGTGTTTGTTTATAATTTCAGCTTATGGCTGTCTTTATGTATGAATTCTGAGGCAAGAAAGCAAGCTTTAATGTTGTGTAAACAAAACGAGAACCATTTCTGTGCACTTAGTATCTGTACCACCTTTTTTGTGCACCACGCATCTGATCCACGACCTTCAGCTTGCTATTCGAGCCCGTTGATCATCCATCCACTGGAACAGAATTCAATAGTCCATGAATTTTGGTTTCTGTCAATCCGTGATTTCTAGCGCTACTACCTCTAGCAAATGTCACGCTCATCTTGGTTAACCTTCGCTAGTCACGACTTCTCACTGGAACTCCATGCAACTTTGACCTGTAGAGTATTTGGTCACACTAGTGACCACGTTTTTGGTGTACAAGGATTGATTGGTTCCATAATTGATCACGACCTTGATTTCAGTTAGGGAACCACTGAAAGCCAGGGAGTAGCGGAATGGAATGCTGTTCCGCTCATGTTTGAGGCTCTTCATACGTGAGCACCCATGACCACCACTCCATCAGGAATCAAACTCAAGAGAAAAACCCTGAAAAAGCTACTTATATTATTAGTTGATATAAGTTAGATAATCAGAGTTATGCACAAAGTATACACGATTTAAGTGTCATAGGAGAGACACGGATAGTTTTGTCAAACTTCAAACAGATTGGTTTATAATTTTAGTAACTTTTCCAGCTAATAGGTTTCGGATTCGACTCGCGCTAAACCTACTTTAACTGGGCCAGCTAACTAACTAGGTAGTACCTCCAGCTTTCGCACAATCACAAGTGTGGCTTTTAGTCAAGTATGTTTAGAAATCTGTTACAGATAACTGAATTTTATACATACAAATAAACAAAGCCCCCTTTTTTATTGTTTCTATTGTATTTGTGTGAGCTTATGCTCGTACCAATGTAAGATTTATTTTGCCTACTATCAATACTGACAACACAGAATCTTGGCGTTACTATGCTTAAAACGAAGGTGACTTAACCTTGAAAGTGTTTTTGAAATATAAAACAAAACAGTATTATTATCACTATCATTGTCCCCTTGGGTTTCTAGTGGAACATAGGACTTCAACTGCACGCCTCCACTTGCTTCCGTCTTCTGCTGTACTTTTCACCTGCGTCCATGTTAATCCATACTGTTTCAACTCCTCTTCACACGATCTCCTCCATGTCACCCTTGCACCGACGAACTACTCGCTTCTTCCCTTTCGGGTTCCACTCGAGCGTTGGCCTGACACGCGATGTCACCCAGCGGCCTCCTCAGCCAGTGAGTGTCCAATCCATCTCCACTTTCTTCTGCATATTTGTGGAGCGATTGGTTCTTGTTTTGTTTATTCCCATAGTTTCTTGTTGGTTCTTGTTCTTTCCGGCCATCTGATCTTCAGTATAGAGCGAAGACAGTTGCTGATAAAGGTCTGCAACAGGCTGTTCGGAATATTCTTTGTGACCCGCCAACTTTCTGATCCGTATAGAAGAACTGACTGACTTGACGTTTCTATTGAAAATTCGAATCATTTTGTTGTTGATGCAGGCTGAGTGACGAAGATTTCCAGATTGGTTTCAGGTTGATGAATGTGTTTCTCGCCTTCTCGATTCTCGATTTGACATCGTCTTCCGTTACTCCTGTGGCCGAGACAATGCTTCCTAGATAAGTGAATGAAGTAACCTCTTTCAAATCCCTCCCGTTGATGGTGATTGGCGCTGGATGTTGCTGCTTCTGTTGTTGTTGTTGGCTGGTTGGTTATTTTCATAACCTCCGTCTTGTCTATGTTCACCTGGAGTCCTGTCTTCTCTGGCTGCTTCTTCGACCAGTTTGTCGGTTTTCGCTTGTAAGTCTTCGATTTTGTGTGACATCAAACATAAATCATCCGCGAAATCCAGGTCTTCTAGGTTCTTCACGTCGGTCCAGGATATCCTTGTTTTCTCGTTTCCCACTGTCTGACGACGCATAATCCAGTCGTGCACCACAATTAGGAATATGATTGGTGATAACAAGCACCCTTGTCTGACTCCTGTGTTTATTCCAAACGCCTCGCTGAGTTTTCCGTTGTGGATCACTTAACATATGCCGTTGTTGTATAGCTGTTGAATAAGGTTGATGAATATTTGGGGTACGCTGTAGTATGGTTGCATAAAATACAACTGTCCTTTAAGCAAAGATAGGTGATCTTGATCAAATCCCTGGGAACTAACTCTTGAAAAAGCAATCTAATGCTAACTAGTGACTGACTATTGGATGAATTTGCTTATAGTTATAGTGACAATTAGTGACCACAAGTGTGTAGTCCACCGGGTCTAGCGTAGGCAGAATACTCACTGCTGACATTGGCTGCAGGCCAGTGGTCTCTATGTTTCGTGAATTGACAGAGGCTGAAATTTATGTGCGCCTGGATCCTGCTGCTCCAGTGGCTGGATGGTCAGCGGACTGGTCTCGTAATCCGAAGGTTGCGGACCCAAACCCCCACTGGTTTGATGGGTAAGTACTCCTGAATAGTCCTTAACTTGGACGAAATAGTTGTTCAGCATTCCTTACTGCTCTTCAATGATTTCCTAAGTGAGGTCAACATGTGATCTTACTTGAGACGCGTAGAATCCTTGCAAACTAATACTTGAAAGAAAACGTGAAAAAACATACCGAACAGTAATGATACATGTGGAACATACTGCTTGGACGAGTAACGTTTATATTCGTATTAGATACTACTACTAATAATAAGCAATATATAACAGTTAATCGCCTATGACACTGGCTGGTGGTTATGCCCTATATTTTGCGAATTTGTAGCAATTGGAATTCATAGCCCATTGGATCGGATCCCAATGGCGGGTCTTGGGTTCGAATCCTGGTAGGTACACATTGCTGGGAAGTTGCGAACTAGGACAAAAAAGCTGTCCAGTACTATTAGCTTTCCCAGTGGTTCTCTAGCCGGTATCAGCTCGTCATCTAACATGTAACCAATATATCTTAACAAGCATAGAAGGTCAGCTTTAAGTGGTGGGCGGTTTATCACATGTGAAAATAACCAATAGCCATGTGAGAAGCACAATAGTCAAATTTGGAGTAATTTTGATTGGTGGACTGTCAGAGTCTGTCTGTCTATCTATCTATCTGTCTGTTTATTGATCAATCGTGGTCAACTAACATGTATATATGTATGTATATTGTATGCTTATTTTGTAGCAAAATTGGTCAGCCTTTGCTCCAGATTTTAAAGAACTCGATGAAAATGTAGAATATGAAGAAAGAGAATCAGAATTCGATATTGATGATGAAGATAAACAGACTGAAGAAAGTAAAAGTAAGTAGTTTAGTTTAGTGTAGTGTAGTGTTATAACCTTACCAATATGTGTATAACTTATTATTATTTTTGTTGATAAATAGGTAATTAAATGATTTCCTGTGAATAATATCTATTAATGTCAGCATGTTGTGTTCACTGGACAAAAATTAAGTTTTATAATGAAGATGGGAATCATTGACTTGAGAACATTCTACTTTCAGCGAATGGATTTACAGTTCGATGCTCCATCCCCCCCCCACACACACACACACAATAAATGTATGGTTCACAGCTGCATAGACACAGATCCAACGAAAAAACAGATCTGGACCCAAAAAGAGTGTTGGATTGAAAAAGAGTTAGTTAAGGATGGTCAAATGAAAACTTGAGATCAATCGATATGAGCTAGCCACGTAGGTAGGTAGGTAGGTAAGTAGGTGTGGATTGCCGGGTTTGGCGTTCTCGACGTGCTAAGAACTAGTTCCTTGAGACTGTTGATGCCTATGACTTAAAATCCTTGTCAGTTTGTTCTCCCAGATCCATTAAACCTTCCTGTGTTTCCATGGTACCATTATTCTTCTTCCGTTCATTCCTGCTCATTGTAGTGGAAGTGGAGCAATAAGAAGCGCGATCATTGAACATCTGGTCGATAATGATCACCCTGTCTCTATAGCCTCCACCTTCAAAGTCATCTACAAGGCAAAGAGTAATTTACCGAAATCCCTACGTACCCGACTCATCTGTATTGCTGAAGCCATCTTTGGCTATCGAAAAAGAAAAGCCAGATCTCTGTGTACAGAAAAAGTTCGTTCAACCCCTCCCCTCCAACTTTCATGGTCTTAATCCCTCTATGCTAAAGTATGGTAATCCCCAATCATATTTTAGCTCTACCAATTTTTTTCATCATTTCATTTTTGTCTATTCAATTTGTATACTCTTCCTTATTAAGTCAATTGTTACTATTACTACTCTCACTTTTAATTGTCCCCGGTATTATTTCACTTGTTCCACTTGTCATTCTAAATCAATTCCTTTATGCAGCATTGTAGTTCTCCCTGGCTTTGCTCTGTCTTTGGGTGCTATATGGCATGTGGTAACTTGAATTAGTGCACCTCTGTGCAAAGGTCTACCTTGAAACTCAAGTTAGACAATAAGAACTTGGAAGTTGAAACGCCTACATGATATTCATTGAAATCTGCATGCGAAATCTCATCCATATCCTTATACACTTGAATTATTTTCCTAGACCGTGGAAATATTATATGTGTGTATGTGTGCAGTTGATGCATATCTATAACTGAATATCTCTCACAGGCTTGTAAATATTAATTAATCATATCAATACTTGAGGTTAGACAAAGTAGGCATGATATTGATTTCAGTCCTGCACTGAAATTCAGTCAGTCAATAAACTAGGATAATTAGTTAGTATTTACAATTTTTAATTCATGGATAATTCTCATCCAAGTTTTACTGGAAAGAAATAAAATAAGCAGTTCAGCGAAGAGGGAATTCGTTTTCTTCAGCTATAAAATACCATTTATATACCATTTTCATTTCACAAAACTGATGAATTGTCATAATCATAGTTTTTCTTTTTTGAGTTTGACTATGGATTGCCACCAGTGAGTGAACCATTGGAAAGCCAGCCAGGGAGTACTGGACAGCTGTTTCATCGGGGATCATCGGCAGTACGCACCCACCCCACAGGGGCTTCGAACTCAGGATATTCCGGTTACAAGGCGAGCTAGCTCGTATACTATTCAGCCACTGAGATCAGATTCAATGGCCAGTCCATGAATTCTAACTAACTAACTAACTAATTGGTGATTTAGCGCGACTGGCACCAACCAATGTCATCGGCGGGAAATACGAGCTTGCCTTGTAACCGGAAGGTCCCGGGTTTGAAGCCCCTGCGGTGGGTGTGTATTGCCGGTGATTCCCAAACTAGGCTGATGAAGCAGCTGTCCAGTTCTCCCTGTGGCCGGTTTTCGATGATTCTCTAACTGATATCAATCCGTGGGCAAACTGGTAAAAAAACAATTCTAATCCTTACAAACCAACTCTTGAAAAATTATCATAGTAGTTAATATCAATCAAAATATAAGAGAAACTGATATAGAGTAACAAAGTTACGTAATGAGAAAGATAGTTTTAGTGAATGAGTTGTAATCACGATGTACATAGAAACGAAGGAAAATGTTGTGATAAATATAGGTTCAGAATGAAACACGAGGGCTATAAAAAGTTAAAATTCAAACAAAAGAACAAATCCGCTAAGTAAAAAAAAACAAGATCGGCCACAGGAAGCCTTGCTTGACCTAGGTTTCGTGCTAGTTGGCACTCCTGCAGATTGCCTCCAACCATCTAACACGAACAATTCACAGTGCCCCGTGATGGAGAGCCATCTAGTGGCATGTTGGCCACATTGCAAACCTGACTGACTGATAGAATTCAGTCTGCACCAAACAAAAGACCAGACACATACATTACACTAGTTACTGACTAAAGTCCAATAAAAAAAAACAAGGTCATTATCATAATCATAAAAATGGTTGAATAATTTTCTTCTGTGTACAGAACTCCAGGTTTTTCTAACTGTGAGAATGGCTTAGACTGCAGCAATTGCAAAGGACATGAAAGTGTATGAACTTCGATAGGGTTGTTTTTCAATCTTGTAGATTTACATTAAAGTTAGCGTATGTTGAAACAGAATGATCATGCATGCATCAGTTCACGTATCCCTGTAGAGTCACGTATATTGGTCGCTGGACGCATATCTTGTCTATGGAGTAATAGTGGCTGTATAAAGATTGCAGTTTACTACAGTGAGATGTGATGGGCGGTAAAGATCACCACCAGGGATGTCTGGGAACGAACCAACCCAGCAGGAACTAATTATGCAACACATATGCAGGAAGAAGTGGAAGTGGATTGGCCATACTCTGAGAAAATAAATCATCAATTGAGTGACATCACACTCCAGGCCATCGCTCGAGTGGAACCCGACTAAGTGGGAAGCGGCGACGTGGTCGTCAGTGCGAGGGTGGGGTGACATGGAGAAGGTGATGGGAAAAGGAGATGAAAACATGTGGGCAGACGTGGAGTGAGGTGAAAACATTGGTAGAGAACCGAATGCAATGGAGACGTGCGGCTGAAGCCCTATGTTCCTCTAAGGAACTAAAGGAGATAATAATAATAAACATAATATACAGTGAGATTTGTTCACTGTTCAGTAAATCAAACATTTTTGGGTTATCAAAGTGTACGTTTTTATACTTGTTTGATAAGAAATTTTCTTTGTCCTTTTTGTAGATAACAATGAAGAAGAGGACATCGAAATCGACATAGAAACTATAGAACCTGTTCAAACCTTGTTAAGCAGGTATTTAACTGAATATATATATATATGTATATATATATATATACATATATATGTATATATATAACCCAACCTATTCTTATGTTTAATTGAATTTTAGATTTTCCCGTCGATCGATTGGACCGAAGTGCTCGGTCTCAGGTTGACATATCTGCTTATTTTGCAGATGCTTCGACGATGTCTGGGCATTTAATTAGAAGTTACTTGGTGGATAATGACTAGCAGTGGAATCTAGGATGCGCATTTCGTACTATTTCGGACTCGTCATCTGGATGTACCTGCATTCTTTGGTGAGTGATGATGTTCCCACCGAGGCTCGAAAAGTTCAATTCAATTAATATGACCCGTTGCACAACAGGTGGCTGTCGTAACCCACTTGGTTTAGTGGATAACGCTTTGGCGCTGGAAACTATAGGCACTGGGTTCGAGCCTCTGTGGGAACATCATTACTCACTGGGGAATGCAGGTGCATCCAGATGACGAGTCTCGAATAGGACGAAATGCTCATCCTCTCTTTCTTCTACCTTTGTTGGGGGTACATACGTTGAGTGTGGTAACTTGAACTTCTGTGGAAAAGGAGTTCTATGTTGAAACTTACTTGACCAGTTAGCTCGGATCGAGTAACCAAAGTTGATAAGTTTTGTAAACATTTTTAATGCAGACACTCTTATAAGAGAAAGAAAAAAACACCCTTCAATTGTTTAAAAATGGAGGCGTGAATCAAATCAATGCAAATAAACTCTTAAAATTCATTCACTCACTCACTCAAGGAGGGGTAGACAGGCCCAGGGAGGAAACCTAGCAAGCAAACGTCCCAGCATGATGCGGTAGCAGGATATCCCAGTCGGCGCGTGGCGACCACCTCCTTAGTCGACCTGAACAACTCACCCTCTGACAATTGTCATTCATATCGGCGCCTATGCTTAGCGTAGACACCCAATCAACATGAACACCCTTCATATGCCAGAATACCCAGTCCCGTGCATTTCCACACCCTGGCCTCCAAGTAGTCATAAGATTAAAGGCTTACGCCAAGCTGATGAACATCTCTTCATACACTACTGATAAATCTTGTCAGAAGCCTATGCCATCTGGTAGCTTGAAGTGATACACTACTGTGCAAAGTTCTACGTTGAAAGGGACCGTTATTGATTAGTGCATACATTTTAAGGGAGAGAAAACAACACACCCTCAATTTTCAAGTATTGGTTTTGTAGGGATTTTGTTTGATTGCGTGGAGGATTTCATCATGAGGTGACATCATTTAGAGAACCAAAGGAAAATCTGGGAGTACTGCACAGCTGTTTCGTCCTAGTTTGGGACTCATCAGCACTACGCACCCACCGAGATTTGAATCCAGGACCTTCTGGTTACAAGGCGAGCTAGCTCGTAGACCATTGAGCCACTGGGATCCGATCCAATGGTCCTTGAATTCTAACTTCTGCCAATTCACGACATAGCGCGACCATTTCGCAATGTCTTCTTAGATGAGTTACTGTCTCATCTTCAACCTGCTGTACCCTACTGGTCACGGTTTCCCACTAGAACCCCAGGTTGACTGCCTGCACCCTCAATTGTTAAAAAATTTTCAGGAATGTATCTGTCAAGTGTAGTTGTAACTTGCTACTTTTTTTTCTCTCTTCATTTCAGTTAGGGTTTGCATACAAATAAACTTTTAAAATCTATTCACACCTACTTATAGTAAGTAGTAGTAGTAGTATATATATGTATGTGAGTCATTTATTGTGAGTGTTAAGAGAAGAGACATTTTCTCATTATTGAAAATTATTTGATAAAAATGTCACGTGATTCGCTAGCTTCTTTTCCATTACAGTACTTTTGTCTTATAATACAATTTTTAGAGTGCATATATATAAACATATATATATAGCAAATAATCAACACAATAGTGTGTGACGTCATTTTGAAATAATATTAATAATAATTCATTGTGTTTATTAATATTCGTGGAAAAAATCCACTCATACTTATATATATATATATTCACTGGACTACACTGACGCCTAGTTTAGAAATAGGGAATGAAGTGGTAAAGCACATTGACCGCTTCACTTATTTGGGAATTACCATCAGCCAGCTCCAACGGGTTGATCTCCGTCGAAATCTCAGTACGGATATAGACGGCTAGTTTCGCATATGCCAGTTTACACTGTCTCTGGCTCAGTAGACGTGATATCCGGCTGGCTGGCTGTCGACCAAAAGGCGGGTGTACTGCTCATCAGTCCGCTCCGTCCTCCTTCATAGGTGCTTGTGAGACCTGGCCATTGAGAGCAGAAGACATGAAAAGATTAGCTGTTTTCGATCATAGGTGGCTGCGTTCTATCTTCCGTGTGAAGTGGTATAGTAGTGTAAGCAATACTGAGGTTAGTCTTCGGTCGAGTGCTAGGTAAGGAGGGAGGGGAAATCAATCGACGAGGCTGTGAAATTACATCGATTGAGATGGTTACGACATGTGTTACGTATGCCTAGCCTAGTCATCACCTTCCTCGACGGGGAATGCTAGCTGATATACGGTCAGGCTGGAAAAGAGCTAATGGCGGTCAAACCAAAACATGGCCTCATCAGTCAGCCACTTAGGAAGATGCAGACTGGCTTCCTGGTTGTGGTCCTCGGGACGGTAAAAACCAATGGTTGGAAACAATTGGTAGTATGGCTCAAAATTGTTCTCGATGGCTGGTGCAGATGCATCCACTCCTTGTGACTTATGATTACCAAGGAAACTATATTGTTCTTCGTAATTACTATTCCATTGTCTTATACCTCTGTTTACTGTCTCTATTTTGCGTTTCTTTTTTACTTTCTTCTCTTGCTTTGTGTGCTACATGAAGTGGAGTGTGACGACTTGAACAGCTGCACATATGTGCAAAGTTCTATGTCGAAAACAGACAGGCAGACAGATATTTATTCACTAATCGTATATAATCTGACTGACTGGTTTCAACATAGAACAACTTTGCACAGAAGTACAACAGTTCAAGTTACCACACTCCCCTCCCCCATGTACCACTGACTAACTGACTAGTTTCAATGCAGAACTTTGCACAGATGTGCAGGTTTCATGACTGCCTAGAAGACTTCAAAATCACCAATATCACCCTCGGTGGCCCAATTCATCCTCTTTAAATTGTTAAATAGGGAGAGAGAAAGAATAGTGACATGGGATAACATGATAGTTTAATAGATGTAGGAGATTGTAGAGAGTGAATGCATCTGTGCCACTGACAACGATTTTGAGACATATCACCGTGAATTTCAAGCTATAGGTTCATAGGATCCTGACAACTCCAAACAGACAGTTTGCAACACCTTACGTAACTGAAATCATCGGTCAACGACTGATGCTTGGGTTTGATTTTAATACCCCTAACCGTTCATCCTAATCTGAGATTAGCTTACATTGTTCATCAAGGAAGGCAGTGGCAAGGAATATGCAGCATGTATTGTTCTAGCCATCATAATCGATGTGGCTTCACAACCTCATTGAGTGGATTGCTCGCCTTACCTGACACTCTACACCTAAACTCACTGTTATCGATCATTTTATGCCACTTGTAAATTGTAGGCACTATGATGACTTACTATAGAGTATGTATATGTATGTATACTCTTACAAAAGAAGATTTAATTGTGCAACCTTTACGAAATTAATTGCTGTACTAGTTTTAAAGTAAAATACACACCTACTCGATTTGATAATCCTGATTTTACTCATAATACTGACTACTTCCTTGATGGTATCTGACAGTGGGTGTTGATTTCGTCTTTTCTAAGACTCGTCAGTTATATACACCTAGATGTACGGTCAGTGATCATGTTTGCATTGGAACTCACACCTCCAGTACCTGTCGTTTCAATCTCCATTTAGCGTTATCCACTGGACCACAAAAGACATCTCTCACTTTATTGGCTATTTTCATGGATTTCTAATTATATAATTGGTTGGAGGATTTCATCATGAGCTGATATTAGTTAGAGCTAGCTCAGAGTGCTGGACAGCTGTTTCTCTAGTCCTAGTTTGGGACTCTTCAGGAGTACGCACCCACCACAGGTGGATTCGAACCCAGAACCTTCTGGTTACAAGGCGAGCTAGCTGGTAGACCATTGAACCACTGGGACCCGATCCATTGGCCAGTCCATGATTTCTAACTTGTGCCAACTGATGACATAGCGCGACCACTTCGCAATGTCTACCTCGATTAATTACTGCATCACATTCAACCCGCTCACCTTGTAACCAGAAATTCCTGGTTCCTAACCGTGACTGTGGTGGGTGTATACTGATTATAATTATCATTATTATTGTTCCCTTGAGTTCCTAGTGGAATATAGGGCTTCAACTACACGTCTCCACTTCTTTCTGTCTTCTGCTATACTTTTCACCTGCATCCATCTTAGTCCATACTGTTTCAACTCCTCTTCACGTGATCTCCTCCATGTCACCCTTGCACCGACGAACCACTCACCGCTTCCCTTTCGGGTTCCACTCGAGCAATGGCCTGACGCGCGATGTCACCCAGAGTCATCCTCAGCGAATGCCTAATCTATCTCCACTTTCTCCTGCATATTTGTTCAGCCATTGGTTCTTGTTTTGTTTGTTCCCATAGTTTCTCGTTGGTGATTCTTTCTGGCCATCTGATCTTCAGCATTGAGCGAAGGTGGCAGTTGCTGATAAAAGTCTGCAACAGGCTGTTGGAAATATTCTTTGTGACCCGTCAAGTTTCTGATCGGTACAGAAGAACTGACTGACTTGACGTTAGTATTGAAAATCCGAATCATTTTGTTGTTGATGCTGAGTGACGAAGATTTCCAGATTGGTTTCAGGTTGATGTATGTGTTTCTCGCCTTTCCGGTTCTTGATTTGACATCCTCCTCGTCCGTTCCTCCTGTAGTTGAGACAATGCTTCCTGGATAAGTGAATGAAGTAACCTCTTTCAAATCCCTCGCGTTGATGGTGATTGGCGCTGGATGCTGCTGTTGTTGTT